AAAAAAAAAAAAAAAAAAAGAATGGAGCAGGGCCACCTACAGATGCCTTTGGACACCCCCACGTTCGCTGTCCTGAGTTTGTGCTTTTCTGACCTGCTAGGGCCTCAGAAAGTAGTGGTTGGTATTGACCCTTTGCTTATGGCCACCTACTCTGTTCAGGTGGGAGGACTCTCTGTAGCCACGTGCCCCTTCCATTGCGCTCGTGTGTCTTGGATAATAAAAATGTTTACAGTTTGATTAATGAAAAATAACTAGTATATACTGTGAGTTTTTTGTTTAATACAGTGCCTTTGGCTATGTTTTAGTAATTGTCTTAATGAAGGGAATGAGTTGTTTCATGGATTCGTAATTTTAATGGACTTAAGACTATGAACATTTCTTTATTAGACTAATCATACATGTTTATTAAGAAAAGTTAGAAAACACTGATGTCCCAAAAAAACGATGACTCTGTATTAAAAGCCCAGTTAACATGTTGGTGTTTAAACTTCCAGAGTTTTCCCCATGCATATTGAAAATGAAATGTGTAACTACATGTGTCTGCAGAAAGACTGGATTGTGCTGCCATATAATTTCATAACCTGATTAAAGAAATCAGCACATTGTGAATATCGCTGAAGGCTTGGATATGGCTGTTTTTGCCACATTCAGCCGCTGTGTGGTGTTTCGTCGTGTGGATAAAACTCACAGCCTGTTTCCTCCTCCTTCCTCCCGCAGTTGTGCCGACACACCGGTGTTCCTAGCTAAGCCATCAATTGCGTTTTTCACAGATTACGAAGTTGGACCAGTTTATGAGGTAGATGTCTTGTTTTTTCATTTTTTTCAAAGTATTTCTCGTGGAATGTATTAAGCACATGCAAATCTAGGGGAAAGTCTGTAATGAACTCCTATCTGCCCAGCTCCGGGCTTCAGCAGGTGTCTGCTTTCCGCAGGTCTTGTTTCACCTGCTGCGCATCCCCGGTAACTTCTGTGCAGTGTGTCTGCGTGCACGTGTGTATACTGGGATATTTTAAGGAAAACCCGAGACATCTTACTCTTTAGTTAATACTTCAGTGAGTATCTCTGGCAGATAAGGACTAACCATGACAACAACAACAAAACGAAACCGTAACACCATTATCACACCCAGCGATGGTGACTGTGATTCCTTCATGTCAGCTATGACCCAGACCGTGTCTGATTTCCTGCATTTGTTAAGAATGGCTGGCATAAAAAGACGAGCATATGAACGGAAATCCTAGAAATCATATCATTCTTCAGTTAATACTTCAGTAGATATCTCTGACAGATAAGGCCTTAAAAAAAACATATCGTTATCACACTCAGCAGTATTAACACTATGAACCAATACCCAGTTCCTGTCCGATTTCCCCCGTTTGTTTAAAAAAAAGTCAATTTACAGTTGGTTTCTTTGATTCAGAATCCAAACAAAGTCTAGACATTGCATTTGATTAAAATATCTCTTAAGTCTCCTTAAGTTGATAGTAATTCCTTCCCCACCCTGCTTTTTTAAAATGTCATTTATTTATTAAAGAAACCGCAGTTTCTGACGTCCTGGATTTGGCCAGTTGCCTGTGTGGTGACATTAAATATATTCCTCTGTCCCCTGTGTTTCCTGTAAACTTAGAGTTTGATGTAGACGTTTGATTAGATTCAGGTTCAGTTGTTTTCTTTTTTCCTTTTTGTTTGGCAAGAATATTTCCTTGTGGTCCTGTGCGTTTCTTGCTGCATTCTACCAAGAGGAGCATTATATCTGGTTTCCCCATTTTCAGTGATGATAATACTGATGAGTGACTTCAAGTGTTGGGAGCCTGTGGGGCAATGGATCGTTTTTATATGACCTTTCTACCCATGGACTTGTAAGTCCCACCCAAGTGATTGGTGGGACTGTACAAATAAGGTAATTGTGGCCCACAAAGGGGATTGGATAGCTTGCTAATAATGCAAATAAAGTTCATGGTACCCATGTGGGGGGGTGGGACCATGCAAATAAGGTCTGTGGAACTCGAACAAAGGAATTGGTCAGTTTTGCCGTCCCGTTAGGCTTAAAATGAGCCATCCCGGAGGTGGAAAGAAGAGGATCTCACCACTGCCAAGAAAGAAGTGCCAGGAGTGGGGTGCGTCCTTTGGACCTGGGATCCCTGTGCTGAGAAGCTCCTGGAACCAGAAGACTGAGAGAGAGACAGAGAGCTGTAACACCGAAGACCGCGAGAAGCAACAGCCGAGAAACAGTGGTAGCAGAACCAAAAGATGAGCAGGAGACAAAAGACCGGCCCACGGAGCGAGAAAGCTGAGCCCTTTTGGGCAGGAGGCTTGCTGGCAGAGCAGGGTGCCTCTGGACACTTGGTGGAGCTAGGTTGCTGACCACGGAGCTCGATCTGAACACCTTCAGGCTGAGGCTTACTGGTGGAGTAGGGTGCCTTGGGGCACTTATCAGCAGAGCTCAAAGAGCTTTGTAACACTTGCCCAAGCAGGGCAGAGGTTGAGGAGCCGGAGAGAGGCCTGCCTGTGGGCACAGCTGAGAAGAAGCTGTCCTGATGGAAGAACTGTATCCTGAGCGTTCCTGAACCTGAATTGTAACCTGTTATTTCCCTAATAAACCCCATAATTGTGAGTATTGTCTGTGAGATCTGTGTGGCCACTGCAATGAATTATCAAACCCAGCAGAGAAGTAGACAGTGCTGTGGAAAGGACAGTTGGTGTCAGGACTGGTGAAGATGGCCAAGGGAGGAGGCGTATCTGACCTCTGCCTCATAGGAATCAGCTTTAGGCTGTTGATCTTGATTCTCCTTCCCCATTGTGAAGTTAGAGGAGGTCAGACACCTCTGCCATGCCATTTTTACAGAGCCTGATTCATCCTTTATAAAGTTCTTATCAACCTTTCACATAATAGTTTTAGCAATCTTAGATGATTGTTGCCTAGATCTCTTTCTTTCATTAAGGGTTACAAAATGGTGATTTCTAATTCTGTTCTTCCTTCTGCATTTATTAGCTATGATTTTCTATTAAAATAACTAGCTCTACTCTTATCCCCTCTTCCTTGTGCTCTCTTTGCCCCTGTAGGTAACTATTTCTATTAGTTTGGGCTCTTCCATTGTTTCTTGGAATCATAAGCGAGTACGTATATATACTTGAACACCCTCTTGTTCTTCCTGTCCGGTGCGCTTGTGTTCTCACCTAAAGGCATACCCAGTAATCCTTTCAGAGCGGTATGTAGAGATTTTCCTCATTCTTTTCCCCGTCTTCCTTCTTACGCCACCATCTTGGAGAATCAAGTCAAGATCAGGCTTGCTGTTGTTGTTAGGTGCCATTGAGGCGGTTCTGACTCATAGCGAAGCTATGTACCACAGAATGGAACGCTGCCCAGTCCTGAGCCATCCTCCCAGTCGTTGTTATGCTTGAGTCCATTGTTGACAGCCACCGTGTCAGTCCATCTCATTGAGAGTCTTCTTCACTTTCACTTACTCTCTGCTTTATCAAGCATTATGTCCTTCTCTAGGGACTGGCTCCCTCCTGATAACATGTCATGTACATGAGATGAAGTCTCGCATTCCTTGCTTCTAAGGAGCATTCTGGCTGTACTTCTAAGACAGATTTGTTTGCTCTTCTGGCAGTCCATGGTATAGTCAATATTCTTTGCCAACACCATAATTCAGAGGCACGGATTCTTCTGTGGTCTTCCCCATTCATTGTCCAGCTTTTGCATGCATATGATGCGATTGAAAATACCATGGCTTGGGTCAGGCGCACCTTAGTCTTCAAGGTGACGTCTTTGCTTTTCAACATGCTAAAGAGGTTCCCTGCAGTGTGTCTGCTGCAATGTGTCCAATGCAGTGTGCCTTTTGATTTCTTAACTGCTGCTTCCAAGGATGTTGATTGTGGATCCAAGTAAAATGAAATCCTTGACAACTTCAGTATTTTCTCCATTTATCATGATGTTGCATATTAGTCCAGTCATGAGGATTTTTGTCTTCTTCGTGTTGAGGTGTAATCCATGCTGAAGGCTGTGGTCTTTGATCTTCATCAGTAAGTGCTTCAAGTCCTCTTCGCTTTCAGCAAGCAAGGTTGTGTCATCTGCGTGTCACAGGCTGTTAATGAGTCTTCCTCTAATCCTGAAGCCACGTTCTTCTTCATATAGTCCAGTTTCTCGAATTATTTGCTTGTCATACAGATTGAGTAAGTATGGTGAAAGTATACAACCCTGACACACACTTCTCCTGATTTTAAACCACGCAGTATCCCCTTGTTCTGTCCAAACAGCTGCCTCCTGGTCTATGTATGGGTTCCTCATGAGCACAATTAAGTGTTCTGGAATTCCCATTCTTTGCAATGTTATCCATAATTTGTTACGATCCACACAGTCAAATGCCTTTGCATAGTC